AAACGACAGACAAACGTACGAACAACTCAAACGAGACCAACACCATCACATACAAACAAATCAAAACACTAAGCGACCAATTGTATCACTGTGGTTCGAAACTTTCACTTAAAACTGTGCACTATACAAATACCAGCACTATACAAAACCAATATATACTAGTGTCTTTTGATGTGAAATCACTGTTCACCAGTATTCCACTTAATCTGGCACTTACTTGTACAAAAACCCTCATTACAAACACCACGGACGTACTGCCATTACCGACAGAAGACATTATGGAGTTACTAGAGCTCTGCCTCACCTCGACTTACTTCCAATACAAAGGAACACACTACAAACAATTACATGGGACAGCAATGGCTCGCCTGTTTCTGTTGTAGTTGCTGAAATTGTAATGCAATCTATAGAGGAACGGGCACTCATGACTTACAAACATGCACTACCTTTTGGTTTCGCTACGTAGATGACACAATCACAGCACTACATGCAGACGAGATTGATGACTTCCATACTCACATCAACAAACAGAACAGCCACATACAATTTACCAAAGATGTCGAAGAAAACGGAACTCTTCCTTTTCTCGACTGTTTGGTAAACATGACAATCAAAACTAGGAACAACAGTTTATCGCAAGCCAACACATACTGACCGACTACTAGACCAATCATCTTACAACCCTACATCACACAAAGCCACCACAATCAGAACATTAACAAGACACAAATCATATGTGATTCACCGGACGCTCTACAAAACGAAAACAACTATCTCAAACGTGTTTTTGACAAAAACAACTATAACTCTGACTTTATCAAACGCAACACTTACAAACCCAACGAACCCAACGAAACGAACAACTCAGTGACAACAGCAACGATACCTTACATCAAAGGTACGTCTGAGACTATCTCGCGTATCTTACGACCATACAACATACGTGTCGCACATAAACCAATCACAACATTACGACAAGTACTAACGAACATAAAGGACAAAGAACAACCCAACGAACGACAAGGTGCAGTTTACAAAATAAACTGCTCCGACTGCCACGCCTCCTATATCGGGGAAACTGGCAGGAACTTAAACATAAGACTTACTGAGCACAAACGAGCTACTAAGAAACAAGACAAAACTAATCACATTGCCGAACATCACCGAATCACAAAGCACAACATTGACTGGGACTCGGCAAAATGCATCACTTACAGTACTGACTATAGACAACGGCTTACATTAGAAAGTTGGTATACCAACTTGGAACAAACCCCTGAACAGATCACAGCAATTACCGGCACCTTACAAACGACTTATTCACAATACAAACAAACGATCAACTAAAACATTACACTTCAAACTAATTCACAATGACAATACACAATTGACACCCACACACTACAACTAAAAACGTCACACCTAAATCACACATCACAACTAAAAATAAAATATTTCACTTCACACTAATCCACAATGACAATACACATTTCCTGCATTTCCTGTACACACAATACAATGACGTAAGAACCAGACAACAAATACGGCTAACCTGACGTTTACTCCTCATTTGACTCTGAAGATGACTACCGCTAAGGTTGTCGAAACGTCAGTCAACAACATCAAAAACAGTCCTTCTCAGGACTTTATTAACCTGGACGATCATCATTTACAAACATACAACATGTCTTTAATTATATAATTACATGAATGTTAAAATTGGTTCATGTGTCATGCTTACTGGTTATGATAAATATCTTTTCATATGATCAAAGCTTGTTTAAATGTAAATCAGAAATAATTTAGTTTAGAAATTATAATGATCATCAGAAAAATTACCTAGTGATCATGAAAAATACTTTGCTGTTTTGCCAAATTTCAAGGTTTATCTGCATACATAGAAAGACATTTTTACTTTATAGAAAATGCTTTTCATACATCAATAGCCCTTTGGCATTTATGGCAAACAATCTGGTATGAGCCGTAGATTGACATACCTTTACATCTCTACATGAGGTGTTCAGTTAGAAAAGGGGACAATATGTGACATGGGACAACATTCCATGTATGTGAAATACTCAGGTTTAATACCATTCCAGTCAAATTGTCAAAATAAAAAGCTTCATGGATCAGAAGACTCAAAATCACAGGTTATAGTAAACAGCTTCTCATGTAATCAATGTTAGTTTTCTCAAATCTTAAACAATATGTAGTATAACTGTCCAATGATTGAATGATCAATGATCATAAACTGAAAAACCCCAAACATTTGTTTATGATAAAGTAAATAATAGTATGGCGCCTTATGGCTACAGATTTTTTGTCCATTGAAATATAATTGCAGTAATGTAGGATTTCGCTGCCATATAACGGCCACGATTCCCCAAGCACTAAAGAAATCATAGCTAAAAGTCCTTCGTCAACAACAATTTTAGAAGCATCGATCTGCTTACCATACGCCATATTGACATAAATCGCATCACACATTCGCATAATTGACTTTGATATATTACATTCATGCATGCACTTCACTTGTCCTTTACTTACGATTTTGGATGTAAATTTCTGCTGATAAAACTCAAAACAATGTTGGCTTGCTTTTGAACATCAATGACTGAAATGTCGCTCGCGAGATCGTCTTTGCCAAGCATTTACAATTCATCCATAAATTTTTCGCCCTCTTGAAAAAATTCCCAGTTTGGAAAGCAGCAATCATGTCAATATATGAATTTGTAAAAGATTTCCATAAATTCCATCTGATTGTAGTTTAGTTTCTATCATGCTTTAGAAAAGTATTATGAAACGATCAAACATTCAATCCAGACAGTGAGCTTGACTATGTTAGTTCAGTTGGCTATCAGTCGAAATAGGTCAAACCAATCACAGTAAGACAAAAATTTAAACGAACCAATTACACGATAGCAAGTGGACTCCCTTATAGGTCCGGCCACCCCGCTTATCGGTCGAGATTATTCCAGATCGTCCACTGATCTGGCTATTGACCAATGACATAAGCGTTTTTGGCGTTCATAGACTCCTTTATCAGTCGAACCAGTCAAGCCACCCGCTTATCAGTCGGTTATTCCAGGTCAATTAAAATTCAACTGATCTGGTTACCAAGGAGATATTCATTGCATTAGTCATTAGTTTTCAATAATAAATAAAGCTGGATTTTTATCACGAAGTAAATGCGATAATAAAGTAAGAATAATTAAAGAATTTTTAACTAATATGAATAGGTAATTTTTGAGTTTCAAACATCATTCGCGCGACGGATTTGACATACTCTAGATCCGCCCCTGCTACTTCCATTGGTTATTTATGTAATAATAAAAAGCTATGAGTCTTATATTTTTTCATTTTTAAATAAACAATAATATTAAACTATATTCTTATTAAAACTGTTGCCTCATGTTCAACGTTAAAGATCCTGAAGCAGCCAATTACATAGTTCCGTGAAAATTACACAGCAAATTTAAAGCGTATAAAATGAAATTTCCTTCAGTAATATACAACTTAACACTTCACATCTAAAAATGAAATGATTTTTAACTCACCAAAACGTTTAGGCTTTTGCTTTATCAATAAACGGTTGAGGTTATTCAACTTCCTGGTTTAAAATTCTTGTATTCGTCGTCTTTGCGTCGTCAAGTCAGTCAATTGTGAGTTAGCCTCAGTTAGGTGTGTTTGTGTACATTAATGTATATTTTGAGTCTGGGTGGGGTGGAATGTCGGCGGTAGCAATTAGCACTATATAATAATTAATGTAATATCGATTTGATTATGCCTCTAAAGAAACACTTTGTCAAAAAAATTGCACATCGTTTTTCTGAACTAATTCGCACACTGGGCCCATGGAGGTAGGGTAACCCTACCAGAAGGGTTACATTAGCAAGCAAGTTACTCAACGTGAAATTGCTTTATATGTAGCATTTACATGTGTGCTAGGGTAACCCTGAGGGTTAGGGTTTCCATATCAAATTGATAAGGTTACCACAACAGTTGGATAATATTTTATTTCATAAACCATAAAATGTTTGAGATAAGGTAATCCCTTTTAGTAGGGCTATGTTTACATCATATCTACTCAACATATTTGCATATCAGGGAAAATAAAGTGCTTCCAAAGCATAAAATTATACACAAGATGCACTACATGATTTTACAGAGACAAACAATAAAACTAGAGCCCATCCACCATCTACAAGGAAGTTTTCGAGATGGCAAAGAAGGTTTTTATTCTATGAATGTTAAGTCGTCATTGAAAAAAAACCACTCAATGTGAATATAATATAATGAAAATGAATTGGAAACAATTTTCAGAGGTCTTAGACTGAATTATGGATCTTTATAAATAGGCCTCAAGGAAGCCAAAATGTTTTATCTGCAATCATGTCTACAGCATGCTGATGTTGCTGTCACTAATAGTAATACACAAACCTGACAATGGTAGAGTCACCCTACACAAAAAGATAGCCTTGCAAGTATGGTTACCCTATTCCCATGTAAACAGGCCTTTATTATTCCAAAGCCATCATCAGAGAATAAATGTAATATATTAATCTAAACACAGTTTTTTTAATATGCACATGAAAAACATGTGACTTTGACGAGATTTGAATTCGCAACTTCGGGATACTAGTCCGCCGCTCTACAGGTAGAGCTCAACAAGTACAAGTACGTTATTCCACTAAAAATACAGCAAAATGTAACATACCCATGTAATTTGGTTTTCTTCCGTGAGAATTTCAGAAAGACCAATTTCCTGCTTCGCAACGTTTGACGTTTAGCGTTATATAAGTCTTTCGTATGAGCTGTGTATTTTCGTTTTACGCTATTAAATTTTGTGATTATTTTATTCACTAGCGAAGAAGTTATTTACAACAGTCGTGAGTATTCTATGTGTTAGAATTTATTTACAGGCTTTTATATATTTGGTTAAAGAAGGTGCAGTTATTACACAGCGGATAATGTACTTGAAATTTGAGTAGTTTTACGTGATTATAAAGTTAAGTGCGTAAGTTTAAGTAGCGCGTTTGAGTAAGGGGGTGTTTACATGAATCCGTAATGAGTTTCGATCCGGAATGAACTCATTCCTAGTTTCATTCGGATCGAAATTTACTTTTATCTCATGTAAACGCGAATTGAGTTTCATTCTTGAATGATATTGTGATTAATGACGAAGCACGCATGTGCCATGGGTATTGTCTTCTGGCAAATTGAAGCTCGTAAGTAAATAAAGAGGCTAAATGGGTTAAAATGAGTGCGAAGAAGAACAACAATTAGTTTCATGTAAACACGGATTGACATCACGTTTCGATCGGGATTGAAAGTCATTCCGGATTCATGTAAACACCCCCCCTAAGTGTAGGATTGGCTATTTCCTCTATTGCTAATACATGAATCTAGATGAATAATGTACGCACGTGATGTACGTCACTACAGTTTAACGTACGTGATGTCGTTGTTGATTATGCAGTTTTGATGGGCGTATTTCATATTTCTGTGCATATATTCACTCAATATATTCACTATGGTAATTCAATGGCGTATTTTTTATTGAAATGATATAAATGGAATGCTGAGTGATGATCATTGAACCAAAATACATTGAATAAAATAGATGTATTTAATCAGTGTGTCCCACCGTGACCAGACTTTCTGAAAGTTAATTACCAAGCCAAGCTCCAAAACTTACTAAAATCAATAAAAAATTACCGAATTCGGAGAAGCAGTTGTTAAACAAATTTAAAGGTTATGGCAAAAAATCGAACGACAAATGCTAAATACACAGAAATCAACTAAAATCATGAAGTCAAAAGAGATAAAAATGCAACAGAAGTCTCTACAACGACTTATATATTTACTGTTAAACTGTAAATAAGCCAAATTAAAAACAAAACTGTTCAGTCTGTATCGGCCTAACTATCGATCAATACATTCAAGATCATTATCTATTAAATAGAAAGTATACATAGTCAAGCAACTTTGGTGAAAACAAGAGCATCAGTAAAACTTCCAAAATTTTCAATGGAAAACATTGTATTTTTAGTGTAAATTCACGGCAAAAAATCCTCTGTTGTTGCCAGTAAAACAAGATTTTTTGTTTTGTACTTTGCGGAAGTACTAAAGAACTTTCCACTATGATACAACTCAGACAACTCTTAATTCCACAGGAAATTCCCTGAAATGTCAATGAAATTTTTTTACAAATAATCTTGTCCATCAATATTTGATAACATTTTAAATGATTCACTTTAGCTTAAACAATACTGAAGTAACTAAGCTGGCGAAAAATCTTCACGTGCTTCTTAAAGAAACCAGCTAATTTTCCTCTTTTCAAAATTATTTCCGGTTCTCATGTTGTGCAAATATTTACATAAGTAACGAAAAGAATGTAAACGCCGTGACAACGCTGTCATATGTAACAGAGCGATCATATTTTATCAAAACCTGTCTCATGACAAGCCACACAAATTACCCAGAGTTGTTTTAAAAACAGAATACCAGCCACACAATCTCTATTCTGTAATTTTATCCTTACATATGACTTAATGGTGCTTTTAGATGAATGTATAAATTGTGAAAGTATACTTCGACACGCTGTGCCAATATCCATTTCCTAGTTGATTATAATGCTCTTGAAGACGATGAGCATCCACAAGTGGATTTTGTAAGAAAATCATTGTGAAAAATAACATCTGTATAAATCGCTTTTGCTGAAATATTCTTAGTAATTTTCACAATTTTAATGCACAATTAAAAATTTCTTATACTTTGTCTACAAAGAATTCCAGATGGGGGACTTTGGAATCACCAAAGGCCCTGGGAAAGCTTGATCCGCCCCTTTTTACCACATCTATCCTACCAATGATCTTATCCTGCAGTTTTTAGATGAAAACACCAAACGTGGCTAGATTGAGAATGTTCTTGACGAGTCCCAGGGGGGCATGCATCACTGAGAAATTTTTGATTTCGTAAAACAGTGAATCAAATGACAAATAATCAAGTTGTCCTTTAACTTTTACCACTTCAACCCATGCAAGCAACTTCAATTCAGATGGTTGGACTGCAAACTTCTGTTTAGCAAAGGACCGTACATGGATGACGTCAGACGACTTTGCTCTTTTTAATCAGGTATATTAGAATTTATAATTGTTTAAAAAAGAGCAAATACCATGGTGAATGGTTAAAATAATAACGTAAGAGTTCTTAAAAGAACTGTTTAAAACCAGAACACTAAACTCAACAAGTCACGAAAACAAATTCGGAAATTAAAAGTACAAAAGTAATGTTCTATAATTTCTTTTAATCGTTGTATTTATATTGCTTTCCCATTAGCTTAGAATCTTAAATGAAAGAAAATTTTACAAAATTTTATTAAATGTGGGACAACATAGAATTGCAAATCCGGTTTAAAATAAAGCGTATTCACTCCCAAGTAAGACATTTGAATTTTACGAATCATTTCAGTGTAAGAAATAAATGAAAATCTGCATTCTGCGATATATATATATTTAGGCTATCTTCTACCTTAGGCTATCCTGCTTATCTGTCATTGATTATCATTAAAGATCAATGAATATTGTCCACTGATGGGCATAATTGAGATGTTTGCTCGCTGAAAACTACCATTGATGTTTATGGAATTGAAGCATTGTTTACACGAAGCAAGGATAGCACTATCCATGTGCAATGACTCACACATTACAATTTAGTTACATTTTGTTCACTAAATTGTTTTATAACGCAGTTTGCTGTCTTCCTAGAAATTTTAAATTAAAAATTTCTATTACCGTCCAAGCTTGCTGAAACAAATTCATTCAATGTTAGCTTGTCTTTGGGGGTAGGTCAAATCTCACATCTACAGTAGACACGAAAATAAAGAAGCAAAATAATAGTGATCACGAAATTGTTTTATTCGGAAACATCCCTTACACTAATGCATATGAAATCATTCAATCGTAAAGAAGCAATTTAAAGAGTTTTCCATTACACTCCTTGAAATTGTTTGATTTTTCTATCTAATTTCTTTGCTTGTTGATGGATTATTTACTGTTTCATATTGATTACAAACAGATTCATAAGCATTTTCTCTAAGTCCTCCAGCCTCTTTATAATGATTGGGTTGTGCATTATTAGCTCCAGCTAAGAAATCAACACTATTTTCACCGCTGCAACATCAACAACCATGATCAAATTTTGTACACGACATGGACGAAACGAAGAAAATATAGATACAACATTAATACAACAGCTCGTACTGAAGAAAAACAACAGCTTCTCTAACTTGCTCAAACCATGAAAATATTTTATTCAAAAGATGAGAAACAAAAAATACATTAACATCACATATTACACAAAGAAAATTAAAATGAATAATTCACTTACTGGTATCCTTTTTCTACAATAAACATAACACAAAAGTAGATACTTAATAATTTAGCATTATGATAACATATGATAACAAGATTGGAGCATTTTGATTGAGCATTGGATAGATTGAATTAAACATTTCCATTAAGTCTAAGGCAAAGGTCGAGATATTAATTGCATTGTGTGACTAGAGCTAAAGTTTGCTATAAAAGAGCGATTTGCTTAAATTTTCTTTTAAGGATTCTTATCATCTCAGGTAGTGCATGCAAATTGAACAGAAAGAGCTAATAGTATTTTAAGCATAAATATGATTTTAAAGCATAGTAAATAAATTACCTTTCGTTTTGCAATCAGTAAATGAATATCTTGACAAATGCTTAAATGACAAATGCTAAAATAGCTACACAGAAATCAACTCAAACTATAATGTCATAGAGATGAAAATGCTGACAGAATACTGAATGACAAAAATATCTATCAAAAAAATGATAATAATCGACCAAAAAGAACAAAGCAAATGAAAGAGTGAAACTCAATCTTTTTACCTTGGTTGATAGTGAAATCCTTAACATCAAATCTTTGCCCAGTGTAAACTTTGCTTCACAACGATGAAAAGAACGATAAAAAAGGCAAAATTTGATGCCACGGATCCGGGTGAAGCAGTCTGAGTCCATAGAGCACGCGCAGTAGCTGATTTACAATTTGAGTACGATCACAATTTTAGACGGCCAAACTACGACTAGCGTAAGAATGGCCATGTCCAAATCACTTACAAACCAGCGCACAGCGCGCTAGTCAGTAAAAGTTCAGATTAGTGGAATTTTCCCACTAATTTGGTAACTAATGAGATTTTTGGCCGCTGCTTCATAAAGCAATTTACTTTATGAAAATTTTCATTTGTAAAAAAGACTTTTTTACAATCTTGTAATATCGTGTACACATGCAAGTCAATGGAAGATAAACATTGACAAGTCGTAAATAATTCTGATTTAAGTACAAAGTAGGATACTATGTCAAAAATTGATAAAAGTAAGATTTTAATTTTACCTGTGATGATAGTAAGATTTTCAACATCAGATAAATCGCTTCCCAGTTTATTCTTTGCTTCACAACGATATGAACCAGCGTTATTGAAGTTGACAGATTGAATGATGTATGTCTTATTATTACTGATAACTGCACCATTGTGATAAATAGTGTAGGTTGGTTCAGGATAACCATCTGATTCACAGGTTATTGTCACAGTTTGACCTTTTTTCAATGACATTGGACTGATGGTGATATTGGTTTGTTGTGGTGGATCTGTAAAGAATAAAATTATACTAAATATCCTACACAAACGTTTATAATGAGATCTGAAATGCCGCCTAGCAAACTTACATGTAGGTGTCACTGTTATTTCAATGGATTTTTCATCTCTATAACGTTGATCATTATAACTCTGTGCTTTACATGTGTAATTTCCACCATCATTCAATGTAACATTAGTGATTACTAATGTCTTACTTACAACTCCAACATCACCAATTATGTTGTTATCTTTATCAAACCATGTGACATTAGCAGGAGGGATACCTCCTTCACCTCTACATACACATGATACATTATCACCTTCATTCACAACCAGAGGTTTTGAACAATTAATTACCACCTTTGGTTTCACTGAAATTAAAAACAGAAAATATTCCTTTCTTAAATTAGTTATGAAAAAGAAAATTAATAATGAGAGTATTCGTTAGTGTTAGGTGCATTTTCTTAGGAGTGTTGGATCGATACCCTAACCAGTCACAAGCCAGCACAAAGCCCGCTTATCAGTCGCTAAAAGTAATAATTAGTGGAAATTTTTCACTAAACTGCTATCCAATGAGATTTTTGCATTAAACCATTGCACTATTAACCAACTTGCTTAATGAAAATTTCATTTGTAAAAAAGACTTTGATGTTGGAAAAGAACAACAACATAACAATAATCATTCAACTTTCAAGATGCATATTAATAATAATTTTTAAAATTTTGAAAGTCAATCGCGTGACCGACTAAGCCTAAAGGATATTGACTTATTATGAAGCCTAAACAACTATCATTGGTCTTCGAAGAAATATAAACAAATCATAGTCGTCTAAGACCTTGATAACCTATTTAATGAGGATATACAATAGGCAAAGTGAACAGCTAGGTGACGACAGATGCATACGTCAGTGCAGTAGGCAGCGAAAGGGGTATATGAGGCGTAGGCTTAAGAGTCAATCATAATTGGCAGTAGTAGTCTTTCAGCACAACGAATCTGAATCTCGCCAACAAAGAAAAATATATAACTATCTTCATTGTTCAGCACAATCTTGTACTATCGTGTACAAATGGGATGAAACTGAACAGTCGTAATTTGTTCATGTACAATGCAGAATACTAGCCCAAAAATTGATGAAGTAAAATTTTAATTTTACCTTGATGATAGTAAGATTTTTAACATCAGATGAATCATTTCCCAGTTTATTCTTTGCTTCACAACGATATGAACCAGCGTTATTGAAGTTGACAGATTGAATGATGTATGTCTTATTATTGCTGATAACTGCACCATTATGATAAATAGTGTAGGTTGGTTCAGGATAACCATCTGATTCACAGGTTATTGTCACATTTTGACCTTTTCTAACTGACATTGGACTGATGGTGATATTGGTTTGTTGTGGTGGATCTGTAAAGAATAAAATTAAATTCAATATTCTACACAAACGTTTATAATGAGATCTGAAATGCTGTCTTACAAACTTACAAGTAGCTTTCACTGTTACTTCAATAGATTTTTCATCTCTAAAACGTGGATCATTATAACTTTGTGCTTTACATGTGTAATTTCCACCATCATTCAATGTAACATTAGTGATTACTAATGTCTTACTTACAACTCCAACATCACCAATTATGTTGTTATTTTTATCAAACCATGTGACATTAGCAGGAGGGATACCTCCTTCACCTCTACATACACATGATACATTATCACCTTCATTCACAACCAGAGGTTTTGAACAATTAATTACCACCTTTGGTTTCACTGAAATTAAAAACAGAAAATATTCCTTTCTTAAATTAGTTATGAAAAAGAAAATTAATAATGAGAGTATTCGTTAGTGTTAGGTGCATTTTCTTAGGAGTGTTGGATCGATACCCTAACCAGTCACAAGCCAGCACAAAGCCCGCTTATCAGTCGCTAAAAGTAATAATTAGTGGAAATTTTTCACTAAACTGCTATCCAATGAGATTTTTGCATTAAACCATTGCACTATTAACCAACTTGCTTAATGAAAATTTCATTTGTAAAAAAGACTTTGATGTTGGAAAAGAACAACAACATAACAATAATCATTCAACTTTCAAGATGCATATTAATAATAATTTTTAAAATTTTGAAAGTCAATCGCGTGACCGACTAAGCCTAAAGGATATTGACTTATTATGAAGCCTAAACAACTATCATTGGTCTTCGAAGAAATATAAACAAATCATAGTCGTCTAAGACCTTGATAACCTATTTAATGAGGATATACAATAGGCAAAGTGAACAGCTAGGTGACGACAGATGCATACGTCAGTGCAGTAGGCAGCGAAAGGGGTATATGAGGCGTAGGCTTAAGAGTCAATCATAATTGGCAGTAGTAGTCTTTCAGCACAACGAATCTGAATCTCGCCAACAAAGAAAAATATATAACTATCTTCATTGTTCAGCACAATCTTGTACTATCGTGTACAAATGGGATGAAACTGAACAGTCGTAATTTGTTCATGTACAATGCAGAATACTAGCCCAAAAATTGATGAAGTAAAATTTTAATTTTACCTTTGATGATAGTAAGATTTTTAACATCAGATGAATCATTTCCCAGTTTATTCTTTGCTTCACAACGATATGAACCAGCGTTATTGAAGTTGACAGATTGAATGATGTATGTCTTATTATTGCTGATAACTGCACCATTATGATAAATAGTGTAGGTTGGTTCAGGATAACCATCTGATTCACAGGTTATTGTCACATTTTGACCTTTTCTAACTGACATTGGACTGATGGTGATATTGGTTTGTTGTGGTGGATCTGTAAAGAATAAAATTATACTAAATATCCTACACAAACGTTTATAATGAGATCTGAAATGCTGTCTTACAAACTTACAAGTAGCTTTCACTGTTACTTCAATAGATTTTTCATCTGTAAAACGTGGATCATTATAACTTTGTGCTTTACATGTAAAATTTCCACCATCATTCAATGTAACATTAGTGATTACTAATGTCTTATTTACAACTCCAACATCACCAATTATGTTGTTATCTTTATCAAACCATGTGACATTAGCAAGAGGGTTACCTCCTTCACCTCTACATACACATGATACATTATCACCTTCATTCACAACCAGAGGTTTTGAACAATTAATTACCACCTTTAGTTTCACTGAAATTAAAAACAGAAAATATTCCTTTCTTAAATTAGTAATGAAAAAGAAAATTAATAATGAGAGTATTCGTTAGTGTTAGGTGCAGTTTCTTAGGATTGTTGGATCGATACCCTAACCAGTCACAAGCCAGCAGTAAGCCCGCTCATCACTCGCTAAAAGTCCAGATCAGTGGAAATTTTTCACTAAACTGCTATCCAATGTGATTTTTGCATTAAACCGCAGCATTACTAACCAATTGTCTTAATGAAAATCTTATTTGTATAAAAGACTTTGATGTTGGAAAAGAACAACAACATAACAATAATCACTCAAATTTCAAGATGTATATTAATAATAAATTTTTAAATTTTGAAAGTCAATCGCGTGACCGACTAGACATAAACAATATTGACTTATTATAAAGCCTAAACAACTATCGTTGGTCTTCGAAGAACTATAAACAAATCATAGTCGTCGAAGGCTCTTGATAACCTATTTAATGAGATATGCAATAGGAAAAGTTAACAGCTAGGTGACGACAGATGCATACGTCAGCGCAGTAGGCAGCGAAAGGGGCATAGGAGGTGTATGCTTAAGAGTCAATCATAATTGACAGTGGTAGTTTTTCAGAACAACGAATCTAAGCCTCGCCAACAAAGAAAAATACATAACTACCTTTATTGTTCAGCACAATCTTGTACTATCGTGTACAAATGGAATGAAACAGAACAGTCGTAATTTGTTCAAGTACAATGTAGAATACTAGCCCAAAAATTGATGAAGTAAAATTTTAATTTTACCTTTGATGATAGTAAGATTTTTAACATCAGATGAATCATTTCCCAGTTTATTCTTTGCTTCACAACGATATGAACCAGCGTTATTGAAGTTGACAGATTGAATGATGTATGTCTTATTATTACTGATAACTGCACCATTATGATAAATAGTGTAGGTTGGTTCAGGATAACCATCTGATTCACAGGTTATTGTCACATTTTGACCTTTTCTAACTGACATTGGACTGATGGTGATATTGGTTTGTTGTGGTGGATCTGTATAGAATTAACAAAATTCAATATTCTGTAAAAGTTTACAATGATATCTGAAATGCTGTCTTACAAACTTACAAGTAGCTTTCACTGTTACTTCAATAGATTTCTCATCTCTAAAACGTGGATCATTATAACTTTGTGCTTTACATGTGTAATTTCCACCATCATTTACTGTAACATTAGTGATTACTAATGTCTTACTTACAACTCCAACATCACCAATTATGTTGTTATCTTTATCAAACCATGTGACATTAGCAGGAGGGTTACCTCCTTCACCTCTACATACACATGATACATTATCACCTTCATTCACAACCAGCGGTGTTGAACAATTAATTACCACCTTTGGTTTCACTGAAATTAAAAACAGAAAATATTCCTTTCTTAAATTAGCTATGAAAAAGAAAATTAATAATGAGAGTATTCGTTAGTGTTAGTTGCATTTTCTTAGGAGTGTTGGATCGATGCCTAACCAGTCACAAGCCAGCAGTAAGCCCGCTCATCACTCTAAAAGTCCAGATCAGTGGAAATTTTTCACTAAACTGCTATCCAATGTGATTTTGCATTAAACCGCTGCATTATTAACCAATTGTCTTAATGAAAATTTCATTGTAAAAAAGACTTTGATGTTGGAAAAAACCAAAAACATAACAATAATCACTCAACTTTTAAGATGTATATTAATGATAAATTTTGAAATTTTGAAAGTCAATCGCGTGACCGACTAGACATAAACAATATTGACTTATTATGAAGCCTAAACAACTATCATTGGTCTTCGAAGAACTATAAACAAATCATAGTCGTCTAAGGCTCTTGATAACCTATTTAATGAGGATATGCAATTGGCAAAGTTAACAGCTAGGTGACGACAGATGCATACGTCAGGGCAGCAAGCAGCGAAAGGTATATGAGGCGTAAAGACACATGCACACGTCAGCGCAGCAGGCAGCGAAAGGTATATGAGGAGTAAAGACATACATACGTCAAGCCAGCAGGCAGCGAAAGTGGTATATGAGGAGTAAAGACATGCACACGTCAGCGCAGCAGCAGCGAAAGGTATATGAGGAGTAAAGACATGACACACGTCAGCGCAGCAGGCAGCGAAAGGGTATATGAGAGTAAAGACATGCATACGTCAGCCCAGCAGGCAGCGAAAGGGGTATATGAGGAGTAAAGACATGCATACACGTCAGCCCAGCAGGCATGAAAGGGCATATGAGAGCAAAGACACATGCACACAGCAGGCAGCGAAAGGGTATATGAGGAGTAAAGATTACGCATACACGTCACCAGCAGGCAGCGAAAGGGTATATGAGTAAAGACATGCATACACGCAGCAGCAGCAAAAGGGTATGAGGAGTAAAGACATGCATACACATCAGCCCAGCAGGCAGCGAAAAGAGTATATGAGGAGTAAAGACATGCATACACGTCAGCGCAGCAGGCAGCGAAAAGAGTATATGAGGAGTAAAGACATGCATACACATCAGCCCAGCAGGCAGCGAAAAGAGTATATGAGGAGTAAAGACATGCATACACGTCAGCGCAGCAGGCAGCGAAAGGGGCATTTGAGGTGTAGGCTTAAGAGTCAATCATAATTGGCAGTGGTAGTCTTTCAGCACAACGAATCTAAATCTCGCCAACAAAGAAAAATACATAATTATCTTCATCGTTCAGCACAATCTTGTACTATCGTGTACAAATGGGATGAAACTGAACAGTCGTAATTTGTTCATGTACAATGTAGAATACTAGCCCAAAATTGATGAAGTAAAATTTTAATTTTACCTTTGATGATAGTAAGATTTTTAACATCAGAAAAATCATTTCCCAGTTTATTCTTTGCTTCACAACGATATGAACCAGCGTTATTGAAGTTGACAGATTGAATGATGTATGTCTTATTATTACTGACAACTGCACCATTATGATAAATAGTGTAGGTTGGTTCAGGATAACCATCTGATTCACAGGTTATTGTCACACTTTCACCAATTTTTGCATCTATTTTTGATAGGGTTATGGTCGTAGTTCTTGGTTGATCTAAAATTTAAAATTCAAAATTCTACGTATTTGACAATTTGAAAACCTTATTGCAAAAAGTACTAAATATATAAGTTCGCAACTTACAATTCACTATTATTTCAATGGATTTTTCGTCAATGAAACGTGGATCATTAAAACTTTCAGCTTTACATCTGTAACTTCCACGATCATTTGGTGAGGTACCAGTGATTACTAAAGTCGCACTTTCAACTCCAACATCACCAATTATGTTGTTATCTTTATCAAACCATGTGACATTAGCAGGAGGGATACCTCCTTCACCTCTACATACACATGACACACTATCACTTTCATTCACAAACAGAGGAGATGAACAGTTAAACGACACTGTTGGTCTAACTGAAATTAAAGACAGAATCATAATAATAGTTATGATAGAAACAATATGTAAGTGTCAGTGAAGCTGGGGTAAAAACCGGAAGAGGAATGTTGGATCTGTAAAGAATAAAATTCATTGTTGTATGTGCTGTGTATGTCATATTTGATTGGTTCATTCGTAGTCACATGACTTAAAATAAACGCAATGTTTCCCGTCCGTGAAACAAGTGAAAAATTGTTGCGTGCTGATTTTAATATCATAAAAAAATAAAACAGTTATGGAGCCGAAAACTAAAATTACAAGTCTCGAGTTTATTAAGCAACGCATTCAACTAGTAATAGAAAAAAAAAGATTGAGAAAAACCTTAGAAGTGCTCCAAAAAATGATGTGATCGCCCTTATAGCATTTTGCAACAAAATCTCGACGAACAAATCTCCACCGAAAGAGACGTTGATTTCATTGAAAAGCTGTGAAAATCTATGAATTTTATTCCTATATATAACAAAACACTTAATGTATATTCCGTTAGAAATACTGAGCTTTGTTTTCCCTCGAATCGCATGCAATGTATTGAGACTCTTGGAAAACTAAACTCACTATTTCCCTTGGGAGCATACAATAAGGTTATAATATTCCAAAGTCATATTTTACCACACGTCAATAATAACAAAGTTGAAGACGAAGTTTTTAAACATCTATAGATGATAAAATATATATCTGCAAAACTTACATTTTACTTGTATTTCAATGGATTTCTGATCTCTGAAACCTGGATCATCATAACTTTGTGCTTTACATCTGTAATTTCCATTATCATTCACTTTAACATCAGTGATTACTAAAGTCGCATTTTTAACTCCAAACACACGAACTGTTGTGTTATCTTTATCAAACCATGTGACATTAGCAGGAGGGTTACCTCCTTCACCTCTACATACACATGACACATTATCACCTTTACTTACAACCAGAGGAGTTGCACAATTAATCACCACTGTAGGTTTTACTGAAAACAAAAGCAAAAATTTCACTAATTATAATAAAGAAAATGGACGCTGAAACAATCTTCTCCTTAACATAATGAAAAAATAAAGTCTAAAGGATTTTTCTGAAATTACAAAGCTTTGATAAACTTACAACTAATAGCTGAAAATAGCAAATATTTCTTTCACAATTAATGCAACGCAATAAGAAGTCCTACGTTTTTATTGCCAATTTTGTGGTAAGAATTACGCTGACGCATGCTATTTAGATTGCCATCGGATGAGTTCAAGGAAAGTGATCATAACTTCTTGAAAGGATATTTCTTTCGAAAAGATTTCGCAAGAAATTATTAAGCAAATTACTTTTATCTACTAACGATGAAAAAAGAATGAAGCTCTTTCGTGTGATGACGTCAAAGCGGCCAAGTTGGTAGGCAACTTCAAAGGGCCTACGCTCAACACAACATAAAATCAATACAGATTCTTCTACCTATAGGAGATTTTCTACCAACATGGCGAGCAGTGAAAACATTCCATAACTAAGAATTGTTTTTCGAAAGCAATGTCATCTTTATAGTTGGAAGAAAACCATTCTGTCACACAGCCCCATCCCCATTGGGCATTCTCTGTAGCAGCATTTGCAGCTGAATTCAGGTCTTGAATTCTGTTCTGTAGTCGCTTTTACCATGTAGCTTCTGGGTGTTTAATGCTTTCGTATCATCGTTTCGCGAGTCCATGGTCATACCGAGTCTTGGCGAAATCTCACTCATTCACCTTCTTTCAGTTGTTGCGAAGCCTTGGCAGTGCAGCTATTGACCAGCAGTGTGAAATGTAGCTTGGTCGATAGGTTTGGGATACAGCTTACATTGTAAAGTAGGAATGGTTGATGAAAGCGGCTTGCGCAGGGCTCACACCGTCAATGGGGGTGTTACGATAGTCTAACAGCGCGAGATATTCTTGTCGGTCTTGTCCATTCGCTTTGCATTTCTTGAGAATGTTTTTGACTGTCTGAACTGTTTATCTCACGTAATCCACCTGAGTGTGAATAACTCGGACTTATGGTGTTATGTGTGAAAGGTAGTCTAACTGTTTGCCTTCTTCCGATGAGTAATGAGGCTGATTATCGGATACTATAGTTTCCAGAATTCCATGTCGACTAAATATGGAGTTCGTCTTGTTGAAAAAGGTTTTGCTTTGGTGTTTCTTAATTGCCATTGGATTACGACGTCATCGTGATGATACTCAATTTCACTCAGAGGTTGGTTGCTATTCAGTTAAAAACAATGTTGGTAATTTTGTTGAATCTTAAAGTTTTAGAGTTAGAGCTGGTGATCAAACTTTGGAAAATCATTTGTTCGAATGTGGCAAGCATAAAAGAATATTGCCAAGACAAGCCAAAAAATATCATCAATTGTATTGATCAGGTAATATCGACGAGATAAAAAATAGATATTATTTTATCATGAAGCTGCGATTCTTCTCACAAAGAACAGTTGCCCCTCGTTCTACGATTTGTTGATTTTTAATGAATGCAATTTATACACTCACTATAGTCATCGACTAAATTCATCTGTCTGTAACACTCTTTCTAACGTTGAAATTAATAACATGTTATCTGTTGTTTCTCAAGCTGCCAATTTTATCAACATATCACAGACACGCACATGCCCTTGCTGAGCACGTGAAAAAGTCAGATGTTCAGACCAAGAAGGCAAAAATGGTAAGTCTTTGTAAAACCAGATGGGTTGAGCGAGTTTACATTCTTGAAACGTTCGAACGTTTATCCCTTTAATCGACACTCTTCAGGACATGATAAACAATGTAAGCGACGATGTAAAGCCTTCCCTTGCTGCTGATGCTTCTCACTTACTTTCATTAGTCACTCAATTTCATTTTGTTGCGCTAGTTTTACCAGAAAGATTCTGGATGCTACTTTTCCAGTACGCAATTGTTGCATGGAAAAACTATTGATGTTATGGATGGTTTTCATTTGATAACCACTTTAAAGAATGATGTAGTCAACATGAGGAAGAGCATTGATTATTATCATTGATTTTTAACAACGGCGATTTCGCTCACTTTGTAACCCTGCAAAAATTGACAGTTAAGGTATTCCAAAATGCTTGAAATCGCATTTCTGGCACCTTATGTTTCAAAATTTCCCAAGGGAGGATTTCCGGCGTCCGCTGTTTTATGGCTGACGTTTGAAAAATTCTAGAACCGCCTCTGGTAGCTAATATACACTTCAACCCATGATTTCGTAATCAACCAATAACATAAGCCATACAACGCACGCACATGATTTGAATTTCTTAGTCCCAAAACGTTGCAACCACTGGTCTAATTATTTTTCTACGTTTCTAACTAAATAGATGCATTTCATTATTTTTCTACGTTTCTAACTGAAAAGATGTATTGCTTTCATTATTTTAAAATGAAAAATATAAATTTCTAAAATTGATAAGAATATAAAATAATAAAAAAGGACGACTTACTTGCAACGAAAACTCTGACTTCAGATATAAAAGGAGATAACAGACTGTCCTTTCTTGTTAATCGAAACTCATACGTTCCATCATAACTATGAGTGATATTTCTTAATCGCAGCGTTGAAGGTTTATAGACGTCATAATTTGGAAGAATTGGTGCATTGAGTTTTATCAATGGCAAATCCAGAAAGGCAGTGGCCAACAGTGTTGATTGTGAACCATTACTACTACCCGTAAAAAACCAATCTCTACTGGCCACATCATTTAAATCATCATCAAATGTCCAGGTTATATTGTGTGTTTCTCCAGGTAAAAATGCAAAACTTGTGCCAGGAGGAGGTGATAGAATTTTTCCTATTACAAAAAATTAAAGATAAAACTATAAAATCAAATAAAACTTATATCATTTTGAGCCAATAAAGACCATTTTTTAAATGAAAACAGTACCAAATGGCATATAACAAAAACATATCAAACCTAAGTATATTTTTTATCTATCAGAACAACGACGACGACCACCACATGCATAATACCCTGTGAGCTTTCAAATGAAAATATGATGACAGAGGAACTCAGGTTTTTGAAGCTGTTCCACAAAAAGGCACCACAATTATAGAGAGACCTATGTCACAGAGGATATTTAGGACCTCAAGCAAAAATGGATCACCCTAAACTTCAGATTCAAACTCGTTAACATTGTTTTGTTCTCATGCAAAACATGGTGAGCTGTTTCCATACGGTTGCTCTACAATAACTTTCGGCGCCGTGTGCCTGAAAGCATGCGAAGTAAGGATAGGAAAATAAGCACCAACGCCTGTGTTGTGGAGTTCGAAGAGCTTTTTTATGATATTTTTATGTTAAGACTTTTGAAGACTTTTTTTGAAATCTTGTACTATCGTGTACAAATGGAAGTCAATTGAAGATGAACATTGACAAATCGTAAATAATTTTGATTTACGTAAAATGTAGCAAACTACCTTAAAAATTGATGAAGTAAGATTTTAATTTTACCTGTAATGATAGTAAGATTTTTAACATCAGATGAATCATTTTCCAGTTTATTCTTTGCTTCACAACGATATGAACCAGCATGATTGAAGTTGACAGATTGAATGATATATGTCTTATTATTACTGATAACTGCACCATTATGATAAATAGTGTAGGTTGGTTCAGGATAACCATCTGATTCACAGGTTATTGTCAGAGTTTCACCTTGTTTTACCGACATTGGACTGATTGTGATATTGGTTTGTTGTGGTGGATCTGTAAAGAATAAAATTAAATTCAATATTTGACACAAACGTTTATAATGAGATCTGAAATGCTGTCTTACAAACTTACAAGTAGCTTTCACTTTTACTTCAATAGATTTTTCATCTCTAAAACGTGGATCATTATAACTTTGTGCTTTACATCTGTAATTTCCACCATTATTCAATTTAACATCAGTGATTACTAATGTCTTATTTACAACTCCAACATCACCAATTATGTTGTTATCTTTATCAAACCATGTGACATTAGCAGGAGGGTTACCTCCTTTACCTCTACATACACATGATACATTATCACCTTTATTCACAACCAGAGGATTTGAACAACTAATTGTAACATTTGGTTTCACTAAAAAAAGAGAAGATATCGTTTTACATAAACACTATCTAACAACAATATAGTGTAGAACAAAAATATTTTTAACCATGAAATGTTGAAATGCTTTTTACATCATTTCATATGATGGTAAAAACTGTTTTTTATTTACAAAGCATTTTTTTATGATTTGATAACAACACAACAGATATATGAAATATTTTAAGAGAACGACCAGTTTTTTAAAAGTAAACATGGGTCTCGGCAATCTTATACCATCTTCAGTACAGAGGAATGAGAAAATATTCATATAAAATATGTTACAGGTATCAAATTACTGAATAATCTAGAGATACATAGAAATTGAAGATGGTGTTGATGTGATGAATTTGTTTGTTTGACTTTTTTAGTATAGAGAGCTTCTTTAAGTTTTAGAGTAAAATAAAAGGTAACCGATGTCCACGATGCAAAATCATAAAATGTTGTAGTTTTACATTGTAGTGCAGTGTGAAGGTGTTTGTAAATGTGTAAATTCTTGTTAGAAGTTGTGTGTTCTTTGATGAGAGTGAAGAAATGGCGATTTATCTCCTAAATAATATAAGAAGAATTACATCATGCAAAAGAATCGAAAAAAAAAGGAAATAGTGTCTTTCAGTAGCTTTTATTTTGTGGGAGGAATTTGGCTTTAACCTCTGAAATTTTCTCTGAGAAATAAACTATTTTAACGTCTACATATTTACAGAAGCGTGTTGTTAACTTTCGTAGTTTTTGCTGGGTAGTTTGTAATAGAAAAACTTGGATTTAGTTTTGTTAGAATAGTCTGTAGTTAAAATGGTAAAAATACAAAAACACAAAAAATAGACAAAATTGCAATAAAAATTCTCGCTTTAGACATCAAAGACATCCATCAAAAACAAAACCTAGATTGTTTGCTGACGATACAAACATAACTGGTTTTGACGACTCCATAGCTCATTTAGAAAATCTTTAGATAATGGCTATAACATCGCAAAAAATGATTGGCTGGAAACAAATGTTAAAAAATATTTCTAATTTTCAAATAAACAAAAAACTTTTAAACGCAAACGTATCAAGAATGGTCAAAAATGGTCAACATAAAACATACTGTAATTTGGTTATTCTTCAAATGAGCAATATAAATTCTAAAAATGATCAAAATGTTAAATAGCTAATAAAAAAAGGACGACTTACTTGCAACAAAAACTCTGACTTTAGATATAAAAGGAGATAACGCACTGCCCTTTCTTGCTAAACGAAACTCATACGTTCCATCATAACTTTGATTGATATTTCTTAATAGCAGCGTTGAAGGTTTGTAGACGTCATAATTTGGAGGAATTTGTGCACTGGACTTTAGTACATTAGAGTTCTCAAAGACAAAGGCCAAACGTGTTTGTGGTGAACCATCACTACTACCAATGAAAAACCAATTTCTACTGTCCAAATCATTTAAATTATCATTAAATGTCCACGTTATATTGTTCGTTTCTCCAGGTAGAAATGTAAAACTTGTTCCAGGGGGAGGTGATAGAATAATTCCTAAACATGACAATAAATAAAAAATAAATGTATAAAATCTAATAACGTTTAATTCATTTTAATCCATTAAATATCAATTATTAAATGAAAACAGTAGCAAAGATAGATAACAGAAACATATAAAACAAAATTAACATATAGAACAAGGCTGAGACTAACTCCAATTTAAGGAAATTGCCATTTCAATCGTAGGTGGCCCCCGGAAAATATCCCCGCGTCAAATTTATAAATTTATTTTTCAGTGTCTCAATATGAGGGCATTATGTCGTCATTGATAACAATTTATATTATTCGGAAAAAATTCAAATATCAGAGCCTTTGCTAGCCGAGTAAAATAGTTTAGTGTTATAAAAAAGAGAAGTCGTTCCATTCCTGATGACTTTGATGTTAATTTAAAACTTAAAAATAGTTACACATTCCTGGACCTTTTTTTGCTTGCTTTGAATTTCTTTGACTGTTTTCTTTAATTGTAATTTATTTTACAAGTAAAGGGATCAAAGAATTTTTTTCAATTTCAGCGACGTTGATATCATATAGCTAGATGTGTACAATAAAAGGCCCGTTTTGATTTTCAGGAGAGGCCCCGATGTGTCATGAGACAATGGCAAATAAGTCAGTCTGAGCCATTAAGAAACATAAGAAACATCTTATTAATCATAACAACAACTACCAAAACTTAATGAGCATTAGGCTCTTCAAATGAACATACAAAGGCAGACGAATTCAGGTTTTTGAAGGTGTTCCACAATTATAGAGAGAAAAATAATGACCTTAAAATAAACTATTGCAGTGTTGCAATAATAATGTTGTTAAAGTGTAATCATTGTTACTATATATTTATACCAGCTGCTAAATTATTTAAGTCAGTATTCAACTACGCGTGAATCAATATATTACACAAACAATGTAGAAGGTTAAGCACAGTTAAATAGTGATGACATTAAGGCTTTGACGCAATATGTGGAGAAAATAACTCATTTCTTTAAGGCAAAAAAATTGAAAATGAAGATAAAAGCGCTCTATTTATTAAGTCTTAGGAAGGAAAACGTAGAAAGTTTGACGAGTTAAAAGACGCTAACCGTAACCGTAACCCTAATCTGCTCCGAAAATCTGGTGTGTAGATGACGTGTGGTTTGACCCACATACGAGGCGTTATTCAAGTGTCGAAGCTGCACTTGGGAATATCCCCCCTTACAGGCAACCAAGTTTCCCACCCTGCATCATCAAGCATTCTTGCTCACATTAACCCAACTGGACACACCCCCAACTTAGACGACTTTAAAATAATCTCCTCTTCCGACGATACATATGAACTCTCCATTCATGAAAGCCTTCTAATCAATAAATACAAACCTTCACTTAATGTGCAAGGAAACTCCATTCCACTTAACCTCTTTTAATTTCTCTTTATTTTACTTCCTAACTTCCTAATCATACATCCATTCGACACCGCTTCCTTTAGTAGTAATTTAATACCTTTTTGTAAATATAATATCTTGTCTTAACATCGTATTTAGTATTTGTCTGAAGATGTCTTGAGTAAAGACGAAACGTTACAATAAATTTAATTTTACAATTTGTCTTTTTTTGGTCTATTTTATGGCTCTAATCAGAACTTTATGTTGGGCATTAATTTTTATCACACGAATTGGTGTTCATTACATATACTGTTAAGACATCGATTAGTCTAGGACCTATGTCACAGAGGATATGTACCCCCTGCATAGAAATAAACCACGCTAAAATTCAGACTCAAAACTTAATAAGATTGTTTTGTTCTCATGAAAAACATGGTGAATACGGTCACTCCTGAATAAATTTTCATGAAGTCTGTTACGCGAAATTTTCTTGTTTTTATTACGTAAATGATTAATTTAATTTTCAATACTCCTAATAAAAATTGTGGCATTTTTCATTTTGTGGATGAAAATTTATTTAATTATTTTAATTACTTTTAGAAGGGTCCAAATCAGCTGAAGCACTGTACACAGAGATGTTTACTCACTGAAACACTGTACACAGAGATGTTTACTCACTGAAACACTGTACACAGAGACGTTTACTCACTGAAACACTGTACACAGAGACGTTTACTCACTGAACTAACGTTGGATGAAAATTACGCAAGAAATGAAGACAGTGGATAAAGATACAGTTGAAACAATATCAAGTACTACCATGAATAAAATGCACAGTAGACGGAGTGAAGATGAACATTACTTTAACCAGATATGAAAAGACAGCAGTCACTTTCCAACTATAATGTATATGAGAGAAATTATGAGCACCCTACAGTCTCTGGGTTTCCAAAAAAATTGTGTAATTGATAACTAAGTTTTTTTTGGGTAAAATTGAGCTGTATGAAACTAGTGTGACAACATCAAGACCAAACGTGATCTTTTACTTACATGTCGACTTGTTGGTATGAGAACAATAGATAAATAATAATAGACATATTAATATTCAATAATTTATAATTTAGATTTGCAATTCAGCCACATAGAGCTGCATATTTTATAATGATGAAACACATTTGGCTTTATTGTACAAGAACAAGTGCTATCACTTTTTACCACAAAAGATTCTGTTGTCGAATCATGAATGAGATATTCTTACTTATTTGCTCAATAATCATTACATGCATGTATTTGAAAGGTAAAGAACACTCTTTGTCTTCTAAAATACTGAAAGGTATTGCTTTTAAATCATTTCATTCAATGCAGAACTGGTTATGGTCATTGTACACAAAATGAAGAATTAAGTGAGTATTTTAGTCAATATAACTTAAATTTCTAAGCAAATTCCACAGTTTTATTTTACAAAATAAACATTAACTTCCTTAATGATCTAATAAAAATAATAAATACCTTGACAAGATGAAATCCAACAGAAGAAAACAAATGAAAGGAAGCCAAACTTTTCCATCTTGTATTCTGTCTATAAAGGTAAAGTGAAGATGCAACTTAAATAAAATCACAGAACTACTACATAAATATATGATGTATTCCTTCATATTTTATGTATATTTTTGATTTCCTATCACCATTAATATCAAAGGAAACAAGAGCATCAGTAAAACTTCCTAAATTTTCAATAAAAAACATCCTCTGTTGTTGCCAGTAAAACAAGATTTTTTTGTTTTGTACTTTGCGGAAGTACTAAAGAACTTTGCACTATGATACAACTCAGACAACTCTTAATTCCACAGGAAATTCCGTGAAATGTCAATAAAATTATTTACAAATAATCTTGTCCATCAATATTTGTTAACATTTTAAATGATTCACTTTACCTTAAACAATACTGAAGTAACTAAGCTGGTGAAAAATCTTCACGTATTTCTTAAATAAACCAGCTAATTTTCCTTATTTCACATTATTTCCGGGTCTCATGTTGTGCAAATATTTATATAAGTAATGAAAAGAATTTAAACGCTGTGACAACGCTGTCATATGTAACAGAGCGATCATATTTTATCAAAACCTCTCTCACGACAAGCCACGCTAATTGCCCAGAGTTGTTTTAAAAACAGAATACCAGCCTCACAATCTTTATTCTGTAATTTTATCCTTACATATGACTTAATGGTGCTTTTAGATGAATGTATAAATTGTGAAAGCAGACTTCGACACGGTGTGCCAATATCCATTTCCTAGTTGATTACAATGCTCTTGAAGGCGGTGAGCATCCACAAGTTGATTTTGTGAGAAAATCATTGTGAAGAATAACATCTGCATAAATCGCTTTTGCTGAAATATTCTTAGTAATTTTCACAATTTTAATGCACAACTAAAAATTTCTTATACTTTGTCTACAAAGAATTCCAGATGGGGGGCGGGACTTTGGAATCACCAGGGGCCCTGGGAAAGCTTGATCCTCCCCCCCTGCTTATCCTATCTATATTACCAATGGTCTTATCCTGCAGTTTTTAGCTGAAAATACCAAACGTGGCTAGATTGAGAATGTTCTTGAAGAGTCCCAGGGGGCATGCACACTGAGAAATTTTTGATTTCGTTAAACAGTGAATCAAATGACAAATAACCAAGTTGTCCTTTAACTTTTACCACTTCAACCCAAGCAACTTCAATTCAGATGGTTGCAAACTTCTGTTTAGCAAAGGACTCTACATGGATGACGTCAGACGACTTTGCTCTTTTTAATCGGGTATATTAGAAGTTAAAATTGTTTAAAAAATAGCAAATACCATGGTGAATGGTTAAAATAATAACGTAATAGTTCTTAAAAGAAATGTTTAAAACCAGAACACTAACCAAACAATTCTAAAGAACTGTTTTTATAGCTGAAAGAAACTATGCATTTCGGCAGACTACTCATCAGAGAAAAAACACCAAAATAAAAACTTACAGGGAATATACACATTTACTTTCTTTGTGTGTCATCAGTATTAGCTACGACAGTAAATGTGTAAACACCACTGTTTGATCGACATTCTTTAACATCAGAGTTTCAGGTTCAAAAACTTGAAATGTTAAAGGTGATGAATCATATCGCCGTTCACCATTACCAGTTAACGTTGCAAGTCGTTGAGCAGCAGTAGCACCACGAGGGATAAAGGACCAAACACGTGCAATTATGGATGAGGTCACTTCAAATCTCCAAGTTATATTGTGAGAAGATCCAGGTAAAAATACAAATTTTTCACCATCCAGGTGGAGATATTATTGAACCTAAATTTATCAATTGGATATTGCTATATCAAAATTAAATCATTTGTGGAAAAACATAGACGCACAGAATTGAAGTTTTTGTTATTGGTCACAAATACCAAATATTTCTGCAATTGATGGAACTACTTTCAACTTTTCGTTCTTTATATACGGAAATATTAGCGCCTTTCCCATCATTATACACCACAAGTAAAAAATATTGATTAATCCATACGAAATTCAGTGACATGTTCATATAAACCAGGAGTCTCCAAACTACGGCCCGCGGGCCAGATGCGGCCCGTTGTGCCTCTCAATCCGGCCCGCAGAGACACTTAAGAAAACATAATAATATTATTAAACAAAATAAACTTTGTGCAGAAAGTTCACGTTATGACTAAGCCAACTAGCAAGAGTGGCTTACGTCAATTTTTCTCCCAACTTCCTACTTCCGTTTCAAGCACATTGCGAAATTTAAAAAGCTGAAGGATAACGTGGAAATTTTTTTTTATTCTTCGGCCCTCAACATGCTGGATGAAAGTTCATGTGGCCCTCTGGCTGTAAAGTTTGGAGACCCCTGATATAAACGAAAGTATAAGTTTGAATGAATGAATTGCTTAATCCATCTTTCTTAACGTAGAAGTTACACGATTCAGTTTATCGCTTTATCTTCAACGTGAGAAAATTGCTTCTTTTTTCATCAACAACAGGTAACTTTCTTTTTTTAAAAAGTTTCCAGGTCTCATGGTGTGCAAATATTTATTTTTTTGCTCATCGTCATGATACATTTACTTCACCTTTAATTCAAGACACTGAAAATCTTACTTGTTGACTTTCGATGTTGTGAATTTGTGTTAAATACCTTTTTGGTTATTTGTTCATAACTATTGACTGCAGTTAATGTCTGTAAAACTATTCCCATTGTAACTAGTTCACTGAAGATAAAACAAAACATTTTTTATAAAATAAAATATCATTCACAAACAATACATCCCTAAATACAGCGTATGTTCTTCACCGGCGGGTGCTCCATTACTTAATAACTGCTGACTACGATATCAAAGAAAAACATCTTTAGGCCTTTGAATGTAAATGTATTATAAACTTAAAGTTATTGCTTTTGTTGTTTTAGCATTCAGATTGAAAATGAAATATCAAAACGTTAACAGTTTTATTGTTGCTCCTGAATGATGGAGGTTTTTGTATGTCTGGAGCATTGCGATATTAAACAGTCGGGATTCTCCAGTACATTTGTTTATATTTCAAGTATTAAGACGGTAAATTTTCTAAAGGTCCCCGCATTCATGAGGCTCTTTTTGTGTTGTCGAACACCCCACTAGCCTTGTATTAAAAATGAGACCATATAAACTGTAAACAATTTTTGTTGCGATTGGCGCTCCGTAGTAGATCACTAAAGGTGTTCTTAACTATCCAACTATGGTCTTCTCTTAACTAGATGGGTCTCAAGGCATTCTCTAATCAAAGACAAATTATGAAATTTACGATTTAGGTTCATCAGAAATAAGATTTCGTGCTTTTTCAGGGCCTTTTCGTGATCCTGTTCTAAAAAATTTGGTATACACGGGAAACAAGTCGGGAAGGCAGGTGTATAGTAAGATAAATTGAAAATACTTATTCAAAAACAGTATTACCATACACTGTTATTAAAAACAAGTAATGAATGAGTCACAATGACCAGTGTATTTTACTATCCAAAAATGGCTTCCTTCTGGAAATCATAAAGTATTGGCAGCTCCAAAGGGAGGAAAAGATGCAAAATTCAAATCTTATCAAAAAATATAAACGTTCGTAAAAGCGCCATTGTGACTTTACAACATGGAAAATGTTTATAAACACATGTTTATAATAACAAATTAATGTTCTCATAATTTCTTCTTTCGTCGGCTATCTCGTACTCCGATTCATTATTTTTTTGCAAAGATTCATAATTATTATTTTCTATATTCCTTTTCGATATGTCCAGTTCTTGATAAGTTTTATCAATTGTGTCATCCTCTGGTCTCAATGATTGATAATTATCTTCTTCATTCATTTTTAATAAATCCAATTCTTGATAAGTTGTATCAACAGGATTTTTTCTAACTTCAAATGGAGATTGAAATTGTTGACGTTTTTTACTTAACCAATGTTGACGATAACGCAAAAAAAATAAAACAGAGACGAAAATTCCAACGATAATTCCAGATGTTAAAGTTATTAAAATAATGTACCATTCTGTTTTGTACTGTTTTATTCTCTCATTTTGGTCATCACAAAGAACGTTGTCTAGAAAAGAAGCATAGAACTTACAACATGGAAAAAAATCAAGAGTTTATTTGCATACAATACTAAAATACATATGATAACAAGATTGGAGCATTTTGATTGAGCAATGGATAGATTGAATTGAACATTTCCATTATGTCTAAGGAAAAGGTCATGATGTTAAGTACATTGGGTGGCCAGAGCTAAAGAATGCTATAAAAGAGCGATGTCTTGCAAAACTTACAAGTAGCTTTCACTGTTACTTCAATAGATTTTTCATCTCTAAAACGTGGATCATTATAACTTTGTGCTTTACATCTGTAACTTCCACCATCATTCAATGTAACATTAGTGATTACTAATGTCTTACTTACAACTCCAACATCACCAATTATGTTGTTATTTTTATCAAACCATGTGACATTAGCAGGAGGGTTACCTCCTTCACCTCTACATACACATGACACATTATCACCTTCATTCACAACCAGAGGTGTTGAACAATTAATTATCACATTTGGTTTCACTGAAATTAAAAACAGAAAATATTTCTTTCTTAAATTAGTTATGAAAAAGAAAATTAATAATGAGAGTATTCGTTAGTGTTAGGTGCATTTTCTTAGGAGTGTTCGATCGATGCCCTAACCAGTCACAAGCCAGCACGCAGCCCGCTTATTACTCCCTAAAACTCTAGATTAGTGGAAATTTTCCACTAAACTGCTATTCAATGAGATTTTTGGACTAAGCCATTGCACTATTAAGCAATTTGCTTAGTGAAAATCTTATTTGTAAAAAAGACTTTGATGTTGGAAAAGAACAACAACATAACAATAATCACTCAAATTTCAAAATGTATATCAATAATAAATTTTGAAATTTTGAAAGTCAATCGCGTGACCGACTAGACATAAACAATATTGACTTATTATGAAGCCTAAACAACTATCGTTGGTCTTCGAAGAACTGTAAACAAATCATAGTCGTCTAAGGCTTTTGATAACCTATTTAATGAGGATATGCAATAGGCAAAGTTAACAGCTAGGTGACGACAGATGCATACGTCAGCGCAGCAGGCAGCAAAAGGGGCATATGAGGTGTAGGCTTAAGAGTCAATCATAATTGGCAGTGGTAGTCTTTCAGCACAACAAATCTAAATCTCGCCAACAAAGAAAAATATGTAACTATCTTCATTGTTCAGCACAATCTTGTACTATCGTGTACAAATGGAATGAAACTGATCAGTCGCAATTTGTTCATGTACAATGTAGAATACTAGCCCAACAGTTGATGAAGTAAAATTTTAATTTTACCTTTGATGATAGTAAGATTTTTAACATCAGATGAATCATTTCCCACTTTATTTTTTGCTTCACAACGATATGAACCAGCGTGATTTAAGTTGACAGATTGAATGATGTATGTCTTATCATTACTGATAACTGCACCGTTATGATAAATAGTGTAGGTTGGTTCAGGATAACCATCTGATTCACAGGTTATTGTCACATTTTGACCTTTTTTTACTGACATTGGACTGATTGAGATATTGGTTTGTTGTGGTGGATCTGTAAAGAATAAAATTAAATTCAATATTCTACACAAACGTTTATAATGAGATCTGAAATGCTGTCTTTCAAACTTACAAGTAGCTTTCACTGTTACTTCAATAGATTTTTCATCTCTAAAACGTGGATCATTATAACTCTGTGCTTTACATCTGCAAATTCCACCTTCATTCAATGTAACATTGGTGATTACTAATGTCTTACTTACAACTCCAACATCACCAATTATGTTGTTATTTTTATCAAACCATGTGACATTAGCAGGAGGGTTACCTCCTTCACCTCTACATACACATGATACATTATCACCTTTATCCACAACCAGAGGAGTTGAACAATAAATTATCACGTTTGGTTTAACTGAAAAAAAAACAGAAAATTTTCAGTCAATATTCAAAAAAAGAAAATGAATATATGGTGAAAAGTAATTGATAAATTAAATCAAGTTATTTTAAAAATAGCAACCCCCATTAGGAATTTAGGAAAGCAACATTTTACATAATTTTGACAAGTTTATTGACTATAGGCGAATTGCAGCCGATCCCCAAGGAGTGAAGTACAAAGATATTCTCTATCTTGGTTGAAATTTGAATCGTAAACACGAAATTTCTTTTGTCAAATTTAACAACATGTTATATATAACACATTTTCATGACAAAACAAACCAATAGTTCATAATTGTCTTATTTTTATGGCATTGTAGAAAATGTAGAGTGCGGAGTACTGAGTGTTTGTTTACAATTGAGAAATTTTTTAACTCCACATTTTCCACCATGCTGAGGAACTAGATAGAAAATGCAGAGTTTCTTTATAAGCATTTGTTTAGGCTTAGTTAAAAATCATGTTAACTATGGAAAACAATGCTGATAGTTTACGCTTAACAATCCAATAATAATTAAAACAGAGACTTTGTCGTGGTGACAAAATTGAATATCGCCTTAAAGAAAGCAAATGCAATGGTGAATGGACTGAAACCAAATAAAAACCACGAAATCCTAGATAAAACGGAGAAGAAAAAACTAACAAAAGAAAACATAGAAAAACTCAAGAGTTCGGAACTGTTTTAGAATTAGAGCATTAACCTGAAAATTCTGAAAATAACTGTTTTAGAAATTTAAGACGCTATTCATTTCGGCAGGCAACTCGTCAGGTGTCAACGTCTGCTATCTGTTAAAGGTGAATCAACTTGTATATATAGCAGTTGTTTTAATGATGACTACTCAAGTCCTCACCAAAATAAAGCCAATTTAAAAATGAACTGTTTCTATCGACAAAGGACCCGACCATTAAGCTTATTAAATAGCGGTTCCATCGTTTTTAGAAAAAAACAGACTTAAGACATTTTATGATTTAAGACATTGTGAACGGTCTTGCGATCATATCTTTTTATAACACTTGACCTTCCCACTTTACCTGCTAACTTCTTCGCACTTACAATTAATGTTTCTAAACCTGTGGCAACTTCATCAGCACTACTATTGACAAGATCATTAGTACCAACATGAATAATAATAGAACCATATTTATTTTGGGGGATCTCCAGGACTTTTTGCTGAATGTCCTTTACTTTTGCACCACTGAAGGAGTGGCAGGTAGATTTCCCTCTCGGTGCCCTGGAGATCTTTTTTGGATATATATGTTTTAACATTGAGTCACCAATGATGAGAGTTGACGCAGCTGAATAATTATGGGTTTTTTGGTCAGTTATATCTTGGTCGTCATTAGGAGTGTCGATTTTTGATTTGTGAACTTTTCCTTCTGTTTATTGTGGTAGGCATTCAGTTGAGATTGATATTTTTTTGTCAGTTTGCTCGTTGTCTTCATTAGGATTGCCAATTTTTAATTTTAAAAACTTTTCCTTCTGCTTACAGCGGTAAGCATTCAGTTGGGACTGAGTTGACTGAGTGAGGCATACTTGCAATGACGGTTTTCTAACTGTCGGAGCTACGTGATTTTCTTTGTGGGATTTATCGTGGAGACTTCCAAATCTATTTACTAGAGGAAGAGGATTAGTTGTTAGTTTTGTTGGTTGGTCTTGGGTTGATTCTTACGATTGACATCTATCCAAGCATTTTGATTGTTATCAAGGAGAGACAAGATTCGATTGTTGTCTTCTCTTAGCATGCTAATAAAAAATTTTAAATGGTCAATCTCGGCTGCCATTTTTGCGTTGTCGACTAGAAGGACGGCTTTTTCGTTATCACCGTTTTTCGATTTTCCTTCTAAAATACGAAGACGAGCGAGGATTTGGTCGAGTTTACTTGCATTATCGTCTATGTCTAACTTTTCTGAAACAATTTAGTCTGTGCTGGATAATGTTAAAACAAATGTCTCGACATTAACCACGTGCGCGCAAAATTTTGGTTCTTTATCATTAGGTTCGGTGCACGTTTTAATTTCTTTCGTCTTGTTTCCGTTATCTTTGGCAGATCTTTCTGATGGAATATCTTTTTCTTTGGTTTCATCTGTTTTGGGCAATTTCAGAATCAAGCTTTTAACATCAGCATCTGTAAGCGTGGATAGACTGTTCTTTGTTCGGCAAGACATAATAGTCATGATACCAGTTGATCAATTGATATCAAATTTTATAACACTAAAGTCGAAAGTGGTATCAAAACGTCGAAAGTCGTATCAATAACTAATTTTTGTCCCATACTCAAATGTAGTAAAATCTGTGATGCAAACACTTTAACATAGATTATTCAAATCAAAAGATGCCTTATAATTTCCTTTTTAAATTAAAACAAGATAAAACAAGTCTTCGCATTTGTCTTCGCTCAACGGCTCAAGTATTTAGCTATGGGATTCCAAGCGCGGTCATATCGTATAATTACGTCCGATGCTAAAGCTACTCAGATTACATGAAAGGCTTGGATAACCACGCTGCTAAGTTAAAAATAATAAATACAACTTAATTGCAATAGACACGTTTACAATGAGTCAATAGGATCGGGAGTTAGGTAAATTTATAAACACCAATGTAACTTTGAGTAAAATTCTTTAACATTAGAGTTGCAGGTTTAAAAACTTCAACATCTAAACCAAATGACTTAAGGACTGATGTATTATATTTTGGGTCTTCATTATTGCCACTTATTGTTACAATTGCATGAGCTGCAGAAACATTGTCAAATGTCCTAAAGATCCAACTCCGAAAAAGAAAGTTTGCAACGACACAATAACAGTTATAAACGTTTCTTCGGCAAAATTTTTTAGACCAAGTTTCCCCCATTAAATAATCTGAACAATGTATACAATACAAGAAAGATTGAAATAATTAAAACTTACCAGCAATATAAACATTTACTTTTGATGGAGGAGTACGAGGAATAGTAAAAATAGTAAATGAAAATTCACCATTGTAACTTTGATTTACATTCTTCAGCCACAAAGTTCCAGGTTTAAAAACTTCAAATGTTAAAGGTGATGGTGAATATTGGGGTATATCACTAATAGGAAATATTACTGCAATTTGTTGAGGGGAAGATGAACCACGAGGTGTAAAACCCCAAAGCCATAAATTAATGTCTTCAGTAACATTTAATGTCCAAGTTATATTGTGAGAAGATCCAGGTAAAAATACAAATCTTTGACCATCAGGTGGACATGTTATTGTTCCTGAAATGGAAATTTAACTGATACCTATGACTGATAAAAAGATAGTTCAGGAAAAAATACATCTTCTACTAACATAACAAATGTAATTGATGTTCTCAATTCAGGTTCTTTTCAAAAATTGTGAATAAAAAAATAAACAAATTAAATATTACTACAACAACAACTAAAAATACATCAAAAATCATTTAAGAAAAAATAAAGAAATGGATATTTGAAGTTAAATACCTTTGGCAAGACCAAGAAATGTGATCAATGTAACAGTCGAAAATACTAAATTTGTCTTTACCATTTTCACTAAAAAATTAAATGATGAATTTTAATGCTTACGATCTTTGAAAATAAAATCATAAGTTAACATGGTTAGTGCTGTAAAAATTCCGGTTTTTCAGCTCAGGCTTGTCAATTCTGAACTGGTAAAAATAGCCGACGCTGCGGCCCATCTCCGGTGCACAGAACTAAACATGGTGCATCAAAATAAATAGTAATTTCTACTCGTAAATGGGTAACATTTTGCGTAGCAATATGTTCCATTAATTCTACCACAGGAATATCTTTATCATTGCAATAAACTTTTCGTGTTTTAATTTGCTTTATAAAATAAAAACAGTAAAACATGGGCGCTGATTGGTCAAAGGCTGAGTTTGCATTAGCCTGGGTAAATCGATCGTAGCTCAACCTCAATCAATCAAAGAGATTTTGCAAACCATTCATTAATGCACTTTGTGGAAAATTAAAACACAAACTTCGAAAATCTTATGCAAACCTCAGAGTTCTTTGTGAGAACGCTCAAGCAAGTGCAAAACCTGCTTTGCATCGATCAGCTCTCGAATTTCCCTTAAAGGTCTCCTCAGTTAGCATAAGCCTGTGAAAACATGGTAGACATTTTTCTTTCTTGACTTCATTAGGAAAGCATAAGACAAACATATATACTGTTTCCTAAAGATTGTGAATCATTGGATACATTTACACCTCACATTACAATTATTGTATGTGACCAGTGGCATATCCTTAGTTCTGCTATGCAAATTATTCATGAGTTCACTAGATTGTGAAATTTACATAGCACAACCAAATTTGTGGGCTAACTTTCCTAATGTTCTTAACAGAATAAACTTGAAATTTAAATCATTTAACTATGTAATGAAAGTATTTCTGTCTATACACAAACTACAAAAGAAACATTGGTTATGGATGAGGATTGACATTATTTTAGAAAAATGAACTTTAGGAAAAGACAGTTAGTATTACAGGAAAGTAATTTTGTGTAATTCTTAAGTAATAGTGAACAGAAATTCTTCTCTTTTCAAATAAAATGCTTTAGTTTTGAATGAATTTTTACCTTTTACTAACTGTTTGTAACAATTGCAACTGGAAGTTAGTTAAGTTTTGAACTCGGTCCGCAGAAAAGCCCACAAGGATATATTTATTACAGGATAAGAATTAATGTAGTTGCAAACTGTTTACGCATACTTTTACTATGTTTTAATGTTTTGTCCGTTGAATTTTCATACTATTGTCAATAAAGACTGTGTTATGTATACTGTGCTGATGAATGCCATACAATATAATCTAAGCATTCCCTCCACAAAAATAAGCCCAAGAAAGAGGGCATACAAAATTACATAAGTTCAAGGCTTATGGGCAAATGTTTACAATATGATTCATAATAAAATATAGTGATTGCAAGGCCCATGGAGGTAGGGTAACCCTAGCAGAAGGCTTACATTAACAAGCAAGTTACCCTACGTCAAATTACTTTATATGTAGAACTTACATGTGTGCTAGGGTAACCCTGAGGGTTAGGGTTTCGATATCAAATTGATAAGGTTACCACAACAGTTGGGTTATGTTTTTATTTCATAAACCATAAAAACGTTTGAGATAAGGTAATCCCTTTCAGTAGGGCTATGTTAACATCATATCTACTCAACATATTTGCATATCAGGGAAAATAAATTGCTTGCTAAGCATAAAATTATACAAAAAATGTGCTACATGACTCTACAGAGTCAAGCAATAAAACTAAAGCCCATGCACCATCTACAAGGAAGTTTTCGAGATGGCAAAGAAGGTTTTTATTCTATAAATGTTAAGTCTTCATTGTGAATATAATATAATGAATATAATATAATGAAAATGAATTTGAAACAATTTTCAGAGGTCTTACACTGAATTATGGATCTTTATAAATATGCCTCAAGAAAGCCAAAATGTTTCATTTCCAATCAAGTCTACAACATGCTGATGTTGCTGTCATTAATAGTAATACACAGACCTATCAATGGTAGAGTCACCCTACACAAAAATATAGCCTTGCAAGTATGGTTACCCTATTCCCATGTAAACAGACAGGCCCTTATTATTCCAAAGCCATCATCAGAGAATATATGTAATATATTAATCCTAACACGGTTTTTAATATGCACATGAAAAACATGTGACTTGGACGAGATTTGAACTCGCAACTTCGGGATACTAGTCCGCCGCTCTACAGGTAGAGCTCAACAAGTACAAGTACGTTATTCCACTAAAAATACAGCAAAATGTAACATACCCATGTAATTTGGTTTTCTTCCGTGAGAATTTCAGAAAGACCCAATTTCCTGCTTCGCAACGTTTAACGTACGTGATGTGGTTGTTGATTATGCAGTTTCAATGGGCGTATTTCATATTTATGTGCATATATTCACTCAATATATTCACTATGGTAATTCAATGGCGTATTTTTATTGAAATGATATAACTGGAATGCTGAGTGGTGATCATTGAACCAAAATACATTGAATAAAATAAATGTATTTAATCAGTGTGCCCCACCGTGACCAGACTTTCTGAAAGTAAATTACCAAGCCAAGCTCCAAAACTTACTAAAATCAATAAAAAAATACCGAATTCGGAGAAGCAGTTGTTAAACAAATTTACAGGTTATGGCAAAAAATCAAACGACAAATGCTAAATACACAGAAATCAACTCGTTCTTACATCAACTAAAATCATGAAGTCAAAAGAGATGAAAATGCAACAGAAGTATCTACGACTTATATTTACTGTTAAACTAACTGTAAACAAGTCAAATTAAAAACATTGCTCAGTCTGTATCGGTCTAACTTATCGATCAATACATTCAAGATCATTATCTATTAATAAATAGAAAGTATTCATAGTCAAGCAACTTTGGTGAAAACCATTATTATTTTTAAGATGAACATGACATGAAATACAAAAAAAAGAATGATATTTGATCAACAAAAACAAATGAAAGAGTAAAATTTGTTCTTTTACCTTCGTTGACAGTGAGATTTTAAACTTCCCTGTTTAATCATGGCTTCACAACGATAAAAAAGAACAATAGAAAAGAAAAAAGTTGGTTCAACGGGACCAGACCATTGAGTTCTATAAGACCTGGAGGGGAAAAGGGGCCTGGACCATTGAGTTCTATAGACCTGGAGGGGAAACGTCAACAAAATTAGTATGAATTATCAGCGCGCGGCCGCGTGGTCAAAAACATGGCGGTGTCACAGTGATATGGGTATCCCCGTGTTTTGGGTATCCCCGTACTTAAATCACTAGTGTTTTGGGCATCCCCGGGAAAAATGGCTGCCGTATTTTAGGTATCCCCATCATTGAGTTCTATAATAACTGGAGGGGCTAACTTTACTGGGGCGAGGCAGTGAACTCCATATATATATATATATATCTGGAATGATAACAAGACATTTTATAGATATAAAATTGAAGCCAAAGTCCTAGTCTCTTGCGCGGTTTGTACGTCAGTTCCAGTCCTTCAAAGTCGAATATTCACGCGGTTTGTACGTCAGTATCATTCCCCTGAGTGCCAAACATACACGGCCAATATAAATTTGAATACAAACTGCAAAAGTATAAACATATAAACAACATCACGACAAACAACACACGAGGCCAACTCTTCGCAAAAGGTTATTTTTTACAGCTAAAACTTTACTACAGTGAGTTCGTTGTAACTTACAACTTGTAACGAGGAAAAGCCAACTGAAAATTACACTGTTTGCTAAAAAGACAATACAATAGAAAATATGACGAGAAAATATTCAAGCATAAATTTTTCTTTCGTCGGAAGGTAAATTTTCAAACGGTGTCAGACAGTATTTTTTTTTGTCATTTCAGTGGATTTAAAGATCTGTTTTTCCGAAGAAAAAAGAAACTTGAATATCCAGTTTCATAAAAAATATTGAGTCTATAACTCGCATTTTTACTTTTTACAGAGCGATTGTATTTTTCATCGATTTTGATAGTGCTTGAAATACTAAATGGTTGTCATCTCGATATCAATAATTGAATATCCTTTGCATGTTTGTAAATGTAGATCGTCCAGGTTGGTATAGTCCTGAGAAGGACTGTTTTTGTTGTTGTTGACTGACGTTTCGACAAGATCGACCAAGTTCACCTCACCTTGCTTCTCGATTTATCTCTTTGATTCACTTTCCGTGAACCTTTCATTCCAAAAATTTCATTATTTTTACGATCTGATCAAGATCTGAACTCTACCATTACCAAGGGACAAATGATTAAAAAAAACTAAAATGAACACGCGAGAGACTAGAGCCTGAAGTGTAATGACGAATGATGACGACAAATATTTTTTTGGCTTCAATTTTTGGCTTCGGTTATCATTCCAGTTATTCAAATGTCGAGTTCACTGGGGCGAGGATGCCAAAAAAAATGGCGGCCAACGGACGTATTTCCGCTGAAATGATCGCTTTGCAGAAAAGTAATATTCTCGACCTCCCCCTGGTGTCTATAGTAAATTATAAAGAATTTTTCAAAAACAAACACGATATCACAGAATATGGATATCGTTAGTTCCATAATCTGTGACGATTCTTTTTTGGCATTTCTTTTATAATGCCAACACTTCAATCGTTCAATTGTTGGATGTCGTAGTTTCCACAAAAAGGAACATATCGCTTCTCACAGGTGAGGTAGTTGTTTGTTTTGTTAGTCCGTCAACGATTGAAAAGCAATTATACATGCACTTGAAAAGCCATAAAATACATATTAAAGATCGTATTTTTTTAAGACTGACTTGAACGCCAAATATACTGATGTTTTCCTGTTTATAAAACTCTGTATACTTGTAAAATTCTTATAAAATTCTGTATACTTTTCTGTCATTTGTTAATGCATGAAATCGTAAATTTACCCATCTATTTGCAAAATAGTTTCCCTAAAGCAAAAAAGACACTGCACACATTTTGCTCTGTATCAAAAATGTGATCTGGTATCAAAAAGAAATGATCAGCCCCAACGGTACCCATGATTTGGAGCAGAGCTTGTTATGTTGTATTTGCTGACAACATGCAGGGAAGATCAAGGAGTAAAGATGACTGGAAGATGTTATTGACCAGGCAGAGTCTTAAAAAATGATAATGCTGTAAAGATAATTGATTTATTGTCTGCCCTATCCAGAGTTATTTAATTTGATTGTGGTCAAATTCTATGGATGGAGACAATGGATTCACTAAGGATGCCTTGAATGCTTTGAAGTTAAAGTTCATGATCCAAAGAAAGATGGCAAGAAGGTTGTGTGTGTTTTGATGCTTAATGAAATGTCAATTCACAAACATGTAAAATGGAAAGCAATAAAGTTTGTGTCTATGTAAACATTTGTACTGAGATTGATGATGACTCGATGCAGATGTGAAGCTTCAAACTGTATAAGCCATTGGGTTTTATGTAATTTAATGTTTAAATCATATCATATCTTTATCAAAATATTTTAGTTGAGTGTTGTTTGAATGTTACTAATATCTAATGCACTATACTGAAGCATTAAAGATTCGGTGATGAAACCTTTAAAGTTATTGTACTGTATATTTCTTATATATTTCTTATATTTCTTCAAGAAAAATTTGAGCTTATTTACCTATTAGAGTACAGAATGGAGATTTATCATATGCACTATTGCTGCTTTTTTAAAGAAAAGTTTTTCACTTTTCAAAGCTTTTCTACAAATTTTTTGCTTCTTATTTCTTATCATGAGATTGATGATATAGAGGTAATATAATCCAATAACTTTCTAATTTCTAAAAAGCTTTTAAGCTTCTAGCATAAAAGTACACTATAGGAATGTAATTCATTTGGTTTTATTGCCTTGCTATGACATATCTACTTGCACTTCATCATTCTTGTATGAACAAAACACCAGATGTGGATACTCAGAGAACAAAATGCACTACCAACTGCTTATGAAATTTATTATTGAGGTGAAGACTGTGTTAATCATTCAAATTATAGTGCACTTATATTGCAAATATAGGAAAAACAAAACAAAGTGAAAAAGAAAGGTAGAAGTATTAAAACTACAAATGAATTATAAACACTATTGGAAGCATAAGTGTTTTGATGATTATTTGCATTTTGCCCAATTCATATATCAATACAACAAAATCAAAATGTGCTACAACTTCACAAGTATTTGATGCAGTTGCACTTCAGAACATCACAAAAAGGTTACTTAAAGTAATTTCTACACAATATTGTTTGTTTTTATTTACCAAACCTATGCAGACTTGAGTCTTTGAAATTTCATATGAAACTCAATTACAGAAAATCCGTAAATATCCAGAGATTTAATATGTACTTTTAAAGAAACAAGTAAAAATCCTACAATTGTGGCGAAAAAGCCATTGCCCATTGCATGAAAAGAAGCAAAATAGCAATGATAACAAATAAGCTGACTCTCTCGTGAACCGTGGAGATGAACTATGATATACTTTTGTATAGACTAAAGAGTTTAATCGATCAAACAAATTTGACGCTGGTAAGAAAACGACGCACATCTGCATTCATACATGTGTAGCCGACATATAGGTCTTTCGTCGATAGTTATAAATGCATCCTCGTAGGAGCAGATAACTGACAACCACAGTTGACTCGCTGTTATGAATTTAAGGTTTTTACCTTGATTTTCATCAAAAAATTGCTTGCCGAATCCCAAATACACATATACATTTTCCTCACTCTTTCCTCAGGAGGGAATGAGAAATTGTGAAATTTCCGGAAAAGCGGTCAATTTCGGTAAATCTCAGCGGCAACGGACGAAATCCGCCATTTTTTTGGCATCATCAGATATCTAAGGCCGCGCTTGAGATAGCCGCTCCAGTTATTATAGAACTCAATGATCCCCATCCGACCACTCAGGGTTCACAAATCACTAGTGATATGGGTTTCCCTATACTTGTTCCCATTCCTACGCTTGTTTCAGGGGTTTCCCTACTGTGGATTAAAGGATTTCCCCTGACTTAGCGTGAACAACACAATTTTGCGCGAAACAAAACCAAATTTCAGTATTTCAAAAATTCGTGATGGATCCAACAAAATATAAAAATCTACTTCAGTATGTTAAACATTCCGTGTATCCCGAGTGTTTTACCAAGCAAGACAAACTTGTTTTGCGCAAATTTTCAAAAAAATTGGAATACGATAAAAAATTAGACTCGTTGTTGTACTTGGAGAAGACAAAAGAAGGCACAGTTAAACGCTTAGTTATATGTGAAGATCAAAAGTCAAGGGTTTTCGAAGAATGCCATTCGGCAACTTACGCAGGCCACAGTGAAAGAGACAATACCTTCAAGAAGATA